ATAAATATTAATTAAAAAATGTAGTAAAAAATTTAAAAATTAAAAAAGAATAAATTTGTCAATAAAATTAAAAAATTTCAATTTACTAACGGTTTGGTACAAAAAACTATCTTAAATAACTTTTTCAATTCATTAGTAATTTGGATTTTAATTGCTATTCGCTAATCCCAAATTACTAAATAAAAAGTTTTACCAAATATCTAGTTTATAGTGATTTTAAAATAAATAAATTTACCAAATACATATTCTTAACGGTTTGAACAAAACCGATAACTACTATCTCCAAACTATCATACCAAACAAGCCCTTAGAGTATTTACTCCCATCTCAAAATAATAAATGCATTTAATTTTATTTTATTTTTAGATTAAAAATTTTAAAATAATTTTATTTTTCTTTATTTTACCTAAAAAATAAAAAGAGAAATATTATTTTATTATAAAAGAATAATAAAATTAAAAGATAATGATAAGATTAAAACAGAAAAAAATGTTTATTTTTCTTAAATTTTTAAAAAAATAACTATTATTTTGTGAGAAATTTTAAATAAAAAACATATATTATTTTGGGATGTAGTAAGTGAAACAAGTTGTTTATTTTTAAAAGAAATATTATTTACTATCTTCATTTTTATTTACTATTATTTTAAAAGATACTAATTACAATATTGAGAATGAAAATTTACATCTAGTATGTAATGAAAAAATATATAAATTAAATATAAGAACAATTACTTTATCTGTTTCTAATTGATTTTAAATTGGATGCAAGTTTTGTATTAAAACCCATACATAATTTTTACATAGTATTTGAGTTCAAATTTTATTGTAAAAAGCTCATTGTTAGCTCACATTAACAAGATTTGAAGTTAATACCAAACCTGCATGTAAATGAGTGTATTAAGTTACGTGACAAAACCTTGCGTTCATAATTAACTTGCACGTGAGGGGAGCGTTTTAAGTAAGAAAATCTCATATCAAATATATAATAAAAAAATACATGGGTTAAATATAAATAGAGCTACTCCACCTATTGTCATTACTAATTGGTTTTAAATTTGATGTAAATTTTGTGTTAAAATCTATATACATAATTTTAATTAAATAAATGTGTATATTATCACAAGTGTATTTCTAAATGATATATATACAAGTGTATTTCTAAATGAAACAGCTATGAAAAGAGCAACTTAATTGTATTGTTTTCATATTACAATAAATATAATTATTTAAATAGTAATTTTTAAAATTATCAAATGAAAAACTATACCAATGAGGAATGACTAATTTTAAACTTGATAAATGCACAAATGTTGTTCAGTAACACATTTCTCATGTTTGACAGGAATAATCATTCTTTTAACTATTTAAAAATTTATACCAACTTTGAACTGATCTATGATAATATAGAATTTTGTTGCATACTCTAGGTTGATTTTCTTTTCTTTTGTTTTTTTTTTTTATTTTTTATTTGAAGGTAACTTCTTTTATTTTAAGCTCATAAAAAAATTTCTTTTTATCTTAAAAAAAGTTCTAAGTTCCAACTGTAATCTTTCAAAATTAATAAACAAACTTAAAAAAATAAAAATGAAAATGTAGAATATAGAACGGAAAAATATGACCTACTATACATGCATCAAGTTTTCAGCTATTAAATTACATAAGTGTTACATTTATTTTTTGAACAAATTACAATTGGGGGAGGAAGTATTCGAACCATAACCTTAAGGTTGAGAAGTATAACTTACAATCAAGCATGTAACCATTGGATCACAAAACCCAAGTACATATAAATGTTACATTAATTAATTAAAATTTGATATTTTAAATTAAAGGTGTCAAATTTAAATTATGAGTTAATAATTTTTTTTTAAAAAAAGTGTTCTTTATTAGGTGTATAATTGATTGTCAGATGTGTAAAAACAATTAATAAAAGCTTTCGATTTTGACCTAATTTTTTTTTTAATTCAGTTTTAATGAATAGTGGAATTCCAAATAAGATAGACTAGTGATTTTTATTGTATTTGTGTTTCCTAGAAATGCAATTTTAGAAGAGTGATTTTCTGATCGATTTGCATAAAAAAGTGTTAAAATACCTATAAAACTATTTAAATATTTTTAATAAATCATTCTTTTGTATTAATTCATTCGGATTATTTTTTTAACAGCAAAAGAAAAAAAATATTAGTAAAATACAAGGATACTTTGAACTCATGAACATCTAAGCATGTAAAGTTTCTTCTTTTATGCACTACTTACATTGATTTCATCCTCATTAGGGTTATTTAATTAATTTCATAATTATTCCTGCTTTTTTTTTTTTTTTTGCAAATCGACTTAATAAAAATTAACAACCTCAAGATTTATAAAAGAATATATTTTTATTTTATGATATTAAGAAGGAAATTCTAAACTCTCACTAAAAAAATATAATATATATATGTACAGTCTCCAAATCGTAATTATTGAACATCTTAAAAGTTGATGTGCAAAAGATGGCCAAAAAAAATAAAAAAGGTAGTCGATGTGCAGAAGTTCTGTAATTATTGATTTAAAGCAACATGCATGAAACTTTTTTTGTTTCTTTTTCTTTAGTTTCTTTTTCTTAATTAATATTAGAGGGTTAGCCGTAATATTGATTCTAAACTAAAGTTCTTAAATTAATAAGCACTAATGTAACGAATTCTCATCAATAGTAACCTGTTGATACTTTTAACAACTTGACCTATCCATTTAACTAGAAAGTTGGTTTATATTTTATTGCCCCCTTATATTCCGAAATTTGACACTAATTAAAAGAAACATTTTGCTCATATTTTAATTCAGTGCCGATACCAATTCGATATTATTCTGAATTTCTGACATATGCTTTTCTTTATGGGGTCTAACATATGCTTTTGTGGACATAAACCACCATCCTGGCAGTTTCCCAACAGATAAAACCAAAAATAGCAATCATTCAGAAAAAATGAAATTATCAGTCCAATTTATACCTTATGCCCTTTACTAATGTTCCACTTCTATTTGTTTTAGGTTACAATAGTATGAGAGAGGGGGAATAGAACACAAGTCATTAATCTAAAGAGTGCATGTTGCCACTTTCCACTTGAAAACCACAAGCATAAAAGGGAAAAACAATATCAAAATCAAAATTAAAAGGTTTTAAAAAATATATATAGTGTAATAAGAAATGATATATAAGATGTTGACAAAAAAAAAAAAAAAAATATAATAAGATGGAGTAGCAAAGTGTGATGCATCATTCTATTGTATCTTTTAGGTAGCAAATGTCTATCACATAATGCTTAGATGATAATATGGTAACATGATCAAATCATTCAGCATCTAGAACACCTTTTAAAAGTCCAAAATTTGCAATTTCTTCTCTCTTCTGGAGACTTCCTTTTTTTTTTTTTACTCTCTATGTATAATTTGATCAAATTTTACACATCTTAAAATTAATCCCTCAAGAGGCAATCTAAAGAGCACACATTCTACATTGACTTAGTTTATTTTACAAAATTAATTTTTTTAAATATTGATTTCAAGACTTAAACTTTAAATTTGAGGATATTTACCTTTTAGTATCTAACCTATGGGGTTGTTTTGGAGACTTGGTGTCAATAAATGATGGGTACTTTCGGTTTTAGAACTTGTTGAAGAAAAGAGAAGCAGGGCAATGAATTTCCGCAAAGCTTGTTTTGGCTAATTCACTCTACTTTCTCCTGGTGCCCTCTAATTGGGTATGCAGAGCGGCAGAGCAGATGGCTTTGGCAATGGACTGAAGCAAAATTTTAGCAGTCCATTGCTCATGAAATGGAAAAGATCTAAACAACTTCAACGAAACAGCTTTGTTTTGGTTCTCTTCGAATTAGGTAGTATTGTCATGTCACCAGTCGTAGTCTACCTTTAATTCCCAAAAAGACATGCCACAACTAGACGATATGCTTTTTTTATATATCTTTACTCTAATTGAAGTTATGCTAATATAGGACAAAGACCACATGAGAATGCCAAATAAA